TTATCTATAATGTCTTTAACATATTTGGGAGGCTTTACCTCGTGTTTAACAAAACCCTTCTTTGTTTCAATCATCTGTAAATCCGGTTTATATAAGAGTTTGAGATTCTTAGCCAACTTTTTGTTGTGATTCTCGCTTTTATGTAACTTTTTTGGTTTTATGATCGCATCAATTGCTTCAGAATTGGATGAATTCAATGTTTCGCTTTTTATTGTAGATTCAGTAGTGGTTTGTATTGTAGTGTTGGCTAAAACCATGTCTTCATTTTGAGGCAAAACTAATAATCGTTTCCAAACGTCGTATCCATTTCTGGCTACAAATTTTAATAAATGCTTATTTTTGGCCATATCTTCCGATGGTTCAGATGTTGTCACTTCCAGATCTGTTGGTTCTGTCATATTCTCTCTGAATATCATTGCGAAAGAAATATATATTTGTTAACATTTTAAAACTAATTAAAAGTTTCATAAATACATCTACTGTTGCGTAAGAAGTATTTTTATATTCAGTAATTGTGCGAAACAACAGAATTAATAAATTTGTATCAAAACACAAACTGATCGCATAATTAGCTGATCTGCGGTTTATAATTAGATTCTGTGGTTATAAATACGCGAGTATTTGCATTACTTCTATACACAAATTGCTGTCAAGAATGGGGGTTAAGTTCACATGAAATGAACGATACATAAATTCATTATAATTCTAAGAATATTCTGTCAAAAATTGTGGAAATTCTTTGTAATAAAGTGTAATTTTGTAATTCTTTTCATTCAGTATTTTGTTTAAATTTAAAAATATAAAAGTATTCAACTTTTAAGCAATTTTTAAAATAAGTTACATAAGAAACAAGGAATGGTAACTCACAGATTGATTTCGTGGTTCTGGAACTGTATGTTTCCTTTGCCTAAGAAAAACATCCAATTAGTGTCCGATTCATCGCCGCCTTCGGCGCTATATTTGTCGTAATCTTTGACCAGTTTTGCCGTCAAAAGCAATTGAGCCAAAGGTATGATCGGATTTTTGTCGAGCAGATTGACGATCGGGTTTAGAGTTTGAATATGTATTAAATTATTTATAAAAACACTTAAAAATATAACGAATTTTAAACACACAGATTCCATATCACAATATAATTTTATAATTAATTAATTTTATTAAAATATTTTCATAATTTTGCATAAATGGCAAAATAGCCCCAAACTTTTGATCGTAAATAAAATTTTTATTTTTGTTAACGATATAAAAAAAATGTAATATATTTACAAATTCTCTGATACTTTGGAAAAATTTATGATTTCAACCAATATGTAAGTCACGCATAACAAAAATGAATAGCATTTGTAAGACACGATCGCAACTTTTCACAAATGGTACTCTCATTTTGAGTGAAAAAAATCAATCATTTACTCCTTAATTGGTTTAAAATATATTCCTAATGAATGGGTTAAACATTATGTGTAGAACAATGTGTAATTTACTGTATTTGTGTTTCCATTCAATCGATTGAATACACAGATCGATGCCAAACGAGGCGAACCATCCTTTAATGTCATTGTCAATTGATCTATAATTTAGATTAAAAGTATAGTTTCTCTCCAATAATAGCTAATATGCCGCTAATAATTGCCATTCAATTCATAGACTAACGTTAACCCTCGTTAATTCACTATCAGTTGTTATAATAAAAATAATTTCATTGAAGAGTGTTTTCCATCGATAAGTGTATCGCAAAGTAACAAATAGAGCGTTAAATAGAGAGCTCTTTTTGGCCTAACATTAGGTAAACCACACGTAAAAGCTGTTAATGAAAGGCACAGTTAGGCACCAGTAAAAAACCAAAGCCAATGCCAATCGATTCGCTCGGTTTACTATCTAAACATCACATCATTTGCACAATTTATTTACAACTCGTCTCTGATTTGATTTGATAAACAACTGGCGCTTGAAATCGCTGTCCGATGCCATCGATTTGTAGCCAATTTGTATTCAATAAATAGTATTCAATGGAAACTCATTAATATCATAGTTACGATCGACTTGTAGTTTAATAAGTAGTTATCATTATAAAAGTTGCGCTAAAATTACCATTAAGTGAAATGAACCCCAAAATCTGGTCAGTGATCTCCACAAGAAAACAAAGTGATTGTTATTCACAACACAACACATCAAACAATTCAAAGAGACATTCATTTCGCAGTCAATTGAAAGCTTTATTCAATAAGTTTTTGTCAAAATTTAGTGAAAATTTTAAATTAAATTCAATGTAAACGTTGAATGAAAATGAATGAGAGAGTAATCCTATCGTCCGTTATGTTAATTTCGCAGTCAATTGAAAGCTTTATTCAATAAGTTTTTGTCAAAATTTAGTGAAAATTTTAAATTAAATTCAATGTAAACGTTGAATGAAAATGAATGAGAGAGTAATCCTATCGGCCGTTATGTTCGGTTCCGTTATCTTTGTCTTCACGTCTTCGGTGTTCCGTTTTGTCCCGACTCTTGCGCTTCTCTTTGTCGCGGGACTTCGAGAGCGTCGGGTCTCGCGTTCGCGCTCTCGTTCGCGGCGTTCCCTTCGCTCACGGCTTCGACTGCGGCGCCGAACGGGCGATAGACTCCGAGATCTGGACCGTCCGGTCACATAACTGGCCAAACGGCGCTCTATAGCCGCCGCTCGTCGTCGGCCATACAGTTCTCGCCGCAGTTCCCGTGAAATGGGCTTCAAATGCATGAAATTACAAAAACCACTTCGAGTGCACTCTCTATATATACACCAAACAAATCACAATTAATAGCAATGAATGCAAAATATTGAGGTAATGGTTAAGACAAACCCCATCTCGTATTGACGACAACAGGCTTCGCGAAAGTCGGTGACCGGCGAGAGCTCGGCATAGATGGGTCGGCCGCCGAACCAACGATTATTCAACTCATTCTGAGCCTTATCCGCGTCCTCTTCTCTACGGAACTGAACAAACAATTGGTTTTGAGACCAAAGTTGGGACAAAAATCAAGAGTGAGACAAACCTTGACGTAAACATTGCCGACCAAATGGTCGCCCAAATTGTCGCAAACGTTCATCTCCTCGATCTCTCCGTACTTGTCCTCCAACTCAATGAACACATCCTCGAAGAAGTTGTCGAAGTGTTCCTGTGCTTCTTCGTCGGACATCACTTTAATGCCCTGCAATACGATGTCTTCAACACGTAATCACAGACACAATAACACAAATAGTTAGCAAAACAATCAAACAGATCACTAATCAATGCGTTTACCATTGTTTCCATCGCCCGATTGGCCCACGTTTTGGGGATTTTGGTACAGATTTTGCAGTAATAATGTCTATAAAGGCATTCAAAAGAGACAAATCAAATGACAATCAAAATTGTGGGCAATAAAGGGAGAGCACGTGTTTGGACACAAACCTGGCTGAAAGTGGGCTTATTATGTATGCGAGAGCATCGGTCTCCGTGACGACAGGCGCCTATCTTGAAGTAAAACGAACAATTCACCCTGGTACATCACAAATGGTACACATGGACAATCATTAATGGTTAATATCAACAATTATGGGGTATTTAATGGTCAAAACTGACGGCCCATTCAATCACTTACTTATCCTTTTCGGTGCCGAAAATTGAAGCCAAATATTCGGCCATTTTTTGCCACCAATTGTCTCAACAAATGACAGCAAATCTCACGATTAGATTAGTGTTTGAAAATGCATTCAATTGTTATCGCAATTCAATTCAATCCTTAATTGTGTTTAACTTTTAGATATTAAACACGTTTTGAATGACAATAAAACACACAATAAATTCAATCAATATTTGCTTACATTATAAGTCATCCGTAAATATAGTGACAAATAATGGTTCGGGGGTTCAGTGCTAAACGTCAGGCCATTGATAATACATTACTTAAGAAATATTTTCTACAAAAGGGGCAAATAGTATGTGTAATACGTTTGTTGTGTAAGATCCCTCATGCAATTCAAATGCATATCTATTCACAACAAACGTTACGACAAAATAAAAGTAGAGAAGTCGTGAACAATGAGGAAATCGTATTGAATATAATGAATAAAAGCAAAGTAGGGATGCATTGACTGCACGCCTGACGTAACGATTGCTTTGTATTCGTTTGAATACAACTCAACGTATTTCGTGTGAGAAAAGGGTTTTTGTTATCGATTTTTATTGTTTACAAAAATATTACCACAAAATCGCGAAACCTTTGGATCTCTTTATTATAGCTGACAATC